CTGTGAGTAGATAAGTATGAGCTGCAGACAGAGAAGAGACCAAACACCCTTAAGGATGATCTGATAATGTAGGGTTTTGTGTGTGTTTGTGTGTGTGTATGGGCGGGGGAGGTGCAAGTGTTATCCCATACACGTATTTACCCAAAAGTGCTTTAACTATTTTTCTGGTGTTGTGGATAATAACATTAGGATGGCCAAGGTGACAACGCCCTTGTTGTGTATTTTGTCCAAATATGACATTCCAAATATTTAAAAAACATACCTTTTTAATACAGAGACAACACACTAGACAACTGTAAACATAAAGTCAATTTCATATATTCCTATAACATTTCATTCCAGAATATTCAAATTGTCCCTCTTCTCCTGTGAACTGATCCAGCTACTCTCTTCAACAACATTATCAGCACTGGTTTACATTACTGCCACCCACTGGGTTGTTCAGGTTTTCTTTTATTTTTAAAGGGTTGCCGTGAACCAGTCTCTATGTGAATATACTTTTTGTGTAAAAGGAGGAATTTGCATTAGAAGGACAGTGAAAGCAATAACGCTTGCTATATTTTTAATTAACCAACTTAGAAAAAAAATCAATTTATTAATGTGTACATGAAACAAACAATGCAGAAAAATCACAAATATTGACCACATTGACCGTTTATTGGTGTGTATGGATATTAATAACATTAAAAGCTTGTGTATTGTATACATGATTTTGATCATTATTTTTTATAAATGTTTTAATAATAATTTAATCAAAATTAGTCAAATAATGTATATTTTACTACAACGTTTTATTTTTTCCCCAGTGACAGCACATGTGGAAACAGTCCGCTCCTATGAGTCGTCCACTACTACATGTTGCACGGCACAGCCCTCTCTGTTGAAACTCACAACCTTTTGGCCCATGAAACTGTTTGGATAACAGTTGTCACACTCGTGATAAAAAGTGAAGCAGGCCATTGAGGCGTTAATGGGTTGGAAAGTGGGCTGAGAAGAAATGTGGAATAACAAGTTTCCTGTTGTCAAGAGAGAGACAAACAGGATGAGGAGGAGGAAGAAGAAGAGTGAATAAAGATGCTTGATTACTCTGCTCTGATTCAGGTTCATAAGGGTCAGTTTAAACAAAGCATAAAGAAAAGTTAGGATTCCCCAACGTTATCTTTTTGGTCCATCCTGTGGATGAACATAATTCAGCTTCATGGAGGAAGATGTCTCCTCTCATGTAACAACATCTTTTAAATGCCAGTCTGATTATCTGGAGTTTATGACTAAAGCTGAGATGTCTCAGCTGTAAACACAGCAACCAGACCAGCATGAAAGAATGCTGATGTTGTTGTTGAAGATGAAACTGGGCATGAAAGATGAGCTCTGATGGTGCATTATCTGACCCTCTGTAGACTCAATCTCTGCTGAAATGGCTCATTGTTAGCTTGTTCCTATAGTTGCAAGTGGCTGCTGCTGCTGCTGTTACTGCAGACATGTTTGCTGTGTGACAACTTAATACACGTGTATAGACTTACAAGTAGCACTACCAAACAGTGAAAGGCAGAACACTCACCTTGCTCCAGCAGCCATCTTGAGTTTTTCTAATAGCAGGTGACGTGATTAAAGCCCATCACAGGTGAAAGTCATCACCAATCACCACATAATAGCACAATTCCAGGCCCAGCATTACTACATTTTCTTTCTACTTTTCCTACAAACTGACTGATTTACAAAAAAGATGAACTCTAATAAACAAACTCAATAAAGTTAGTTACTATAGTAAATACTATTAAATAAGGTAGTTTTTTTTCTCGTCTTATAAATAAAATCCACACAGTCTGCTACTGTGAAGTCAATTATTAAATTTGCAAATTATAAGTTATGAATTTAATGTCATATATATTTTAATATTTATTATAAATGAACAAAAGCAAACAACAATAATGATAATTATTATTATTATTATTATTATTATTATTATTATTCCCTCAGCCTCGAGCACTGTAACGATGACGCTTTTGTTGAACCTCACTGTACAACACTGTGCTGTCAGTGACTTGAGCAACACTGCAGGTGTTGGAAACACTACAGTATAACACTGATGGTGAGAAGATAAAAACCTAAGACTACTTTCGGTCTCAATGCTCATCATGTCAGACAAAGAAATTGCTGTCAGGAAAAACAACAGAAGATTAATGGCACAGCATCTCACTGTCTTTAAGAAAACACTGTCCCTGAATGTTACTTGCTGTGGAAGACAAATACCTTTCGAGGCTAAAAGGTCAGAGGTCCTATTGCGTCATGTCAGACTTACAACCAAAGGTTTTTGTATCAAACACCCTTGACACAGTCAAATAGCACAGAAAAGTTATTTCTATTGAGTTAGAAGCAATCATGTTGATTGTCTGAGAATGAGGGCAGGAGATAACATCATCTCCGGAGCATTAAAGCAACAACATGACTCCACCCAACACACTGCAGGCATCACTACGTGAATTCTTACACAGTGAAGAATCAGCTGTCAACTATGATTCATCAGTTAGGACCTGAAAAAAATATGTTTATCTGTAAAAGGATTAAGCATCCTACATTTGAGCTTTGAAAACAGGAAGAAAAAATGAGACAGGTGATGTCTCAGTTGATGAGAGAGACTGATAAAATCCTTCCGTGCTTACACTTCAACATACAGACGTGTTTCAGACAGTCTGACAGTTACAGAAAAGGAATTCAAGGTATAGCCTATCACAGGGGGAATCTCAGCACTCTGTTTACAAGACAGCGGCTAATAAACGAGAGGAGAATCTTCATAAATGCTGCAGTGATCTCCACCTCTGGACAGAACCTTGTCAAAATAACTATAGCCCAGTTCGAAATAAAAAAAAACTTTAATTAAAATTGATTTTTTTTTAATTATACTAATTAAAATATAATGTGCAGTGTCCTATTTGGATAAGATCTGAAGTGGTTCCCAAACTGAGGAGCAGGCCCCTGCAGGGGTGCATTGCTTTTGCAGTAGAGCAAAGTACTTATTTAATTCATTTTAACAATTTCTTTATAAAAATGATTTCAACAATAGTTTCCTAACGTGATAAAGATTCTTATGTTAGCAGAGTTTAAACAGGTCATAGGGAAATGTTTTGTGGTTCTGTTTGTTTGACAGCCTTCATGAATCACAAAGTTAAAATTAAAATAGTCAGGTTTCTAATAAAGTATTTTCTATAAATTAAAATGTACTGTGGTCTCCAGCTGATCAGAGAGGTATGAGCTGCTTTAATATACGTCTGCTCCCATTGTTCCCGTACGCATAGTCCTGCCTCTCCACTAGTTACTGTAGTTCACTGTATATGATGTGAACACAGATACTTCCTGGTACTCTCCCTGGTCTATCTGGTTAAAAAAAGGGGTCTGATGTTTGCTGGTTTATACCTTTTCACCACACTTTACTGTCCACATGTTTGGTGATTTCATGGAGCAGGGAATCTGCATGGTGTGGTTGGCAGGGTCTGAGGACACAGAGTGCCGTGTTGCCATACATACATTTCCAAATGAAGTGTGAATACACAGGGGAATGCAGACATGGCGAGGAAATGTCTCAATCTTCAGGGGAAAGGTCAGGGAGGAGCGTGGAGAACAACAAATAAACAGCAAGTGAACAATGATTCTGTCCATTCTGGAGACACTGAGCCTAAATATGTCAAAGTCATTAGTGCTGCAACAGTGACCACCCAGTGCTGGAGCCAGAGGGGTCGCCCTGTGACCACAGACAGATAGACCACTGCTGAGGAAGGACTAACACTCTACCATATACAATGTCATATTTCTAATAATTATCAATATGTTTTGATTTTAACATTTTTCAGTCGCTGTTTTCCTTGCCAACTATTAGTTATTTCTCTGCTAACTCTCAGCTCTTTTGCAGGGCAAGATGTTGTTTGTATTTGTCACTCAGATGAAAACTTTTTCTTTTGTGACTTAAAAATAGAGTATAGTTTTATTCATCTGAGTTACTGAGAGAGAATCACTTGGTCTGATAAACATTTGACATCAAATGACCAAAGGCAGTGTTGTCTAATTTCAATGGTAATAATTGAACAATAATTGTTTGATAAATAGTGTATTATGATGTACTTGTATCATTTTTTAATCAGTTCAAGGCCAAGACAGTTTCAGAAGTTGTGTTCATACAGTAGTAGTCCACTAGTCCCTCCCTCTTCACTTGTCAGCCCGGTGTGTAAGACTCCACCTCTGTGCATGTATAAATCCAGAACAGTGTGAGAGGAGAGAGATGAGACTCACTGCTGCTCCAGTCCTGTCTCTCTGCCTCTGAGGAGCTGTCAATTATTGGATTTACTGGATGGAACATGTCTGATCCAGAAAAACCTCGGACGTCCTTCTTCATAGAAGACATCCTGTCCATCAAAGATGGTCCAAGACTTCAAGTCAGGAGCTGTTCACACAAGATGGACAGATGTTTGGAGTGGAAAGAGGAGGAATCTGAAAACCTCAGGGAGAACCACTGTCTTCAGGAGAGAATGTCTGGAGAACAGACAGGTGAGACGCAGCTGATGGTTGGGTGATAGTAGATAAACTCTCAAACACAAGAAGTTATTTAGAAATGAAGTACTTCAGTCTTGGATTTCTTTAAGTACACATTTGTTAAGCAACGTTGGAGAAAATGTACTTTTGCAGTATTTGTTGGTGCATTACTTTCTGTTAGTATACCATACTGATTAGAAAAGTTTTATTTTCATACTCAATGACCTAATTTTTTTAATACTTTTTAGAGTCTCAGGATACGTCCCGTTCCAGCTGCTTGGCGTTCAGTAATTCCTCCTCTTCTGGGAAACAGCGACGCTCCAGAGCTGCGTTCACACACCTCCAAGTGCTAGAGCTGGAGAAAAAATTTAACCTCCAGAAATACCTGTCTGCCCCAGAAAGGGCCCACCTTGCCCGCACCTTAAGACTGACCGAAACCCAGGTGAAAATCTGGTTCCAGAACCGCAGGTACAAAACCAAGAGGAAGCAGCAAATGGCCAAGATCTCTAAGGAAGTGTTAAAAACACAGGGACTGAGTCTGAGGGAGGACTTGGTCCAATCATCACTGTTCACGTCCTTTTGCAGGGCCTATCAATACAGAGCCTACCTGTGGGACTACAGTGGCCCCTGGGGCCCAATGCTATGGTAAAAGTACATGTTTTTGTACTGACAGTTTTAATACTTAATGTTAAAATGACCAGATGTTGCCTTCACCAATGTTGCCTTTTAATTGTTGTTTGTTGTTTCAACAAATTTTCAAATAATAAAGCAAATTAATTCAGAAAAGCCATTGTTAATTAATTCATAATAAACATGTGCTGCTATACCAAATATTTGTATTAAGGTATTCAAAAGGTTTCCTTTTCTCTCCTCTTTTCACTGGCATGTCTTCAACACATGAACCTTCTTTACTTGTATATGTTGTACAGAAATGGTTCTCCTACAGGCATGTTAAAGTGAATAATTGAATCATTCCAATATTGTGATTAAGAATAACCAACACAAACTGTCAACTAGAGTGTAGCAGGAACAGAGGAAGAAGGTCATGTCCAACAGTGTTAAACTGGAGTAGACGTCTCTGCTCTCAGAGATCTCAGAAAGACATCTGTGAGTTAATGCCCCCCTTTAAGTCACACAACTTATTATAAGTAAAAAACAAGCTCTTTGAAATTTACACCTAAATCAAATCAAATATACTTGGAAATATATTCAAGTTTGTTTGAGGGGGGGTGTAATTAATTTGTATATTTGGGGTTTTGTCTCTTGACACTTTTCCCTACCAGGATTTTCAGTTAGAGATTTTAGTAAAAATAGCAAAAACTACTTCTCCTCAGAAGAACCACTTTCAACTGTCCTCTAATCACCAAAGTGGTAACCTGATGGACCCAGTCTGGGATTAAGGAACTAGGTCAGGGGTGTGAAACATACGGCCTGGGGGCCAAAACCAGCCCGCTAGGCAGATCAATCTAGCCCACAAAAAAATACACAAGTACAAGTACTTACTTTGACTTTGGTAAAATTATATTTTAATTACATATTAATTAATAATAATAATAAATATCCAATATTGTTTAAAAATATTGTTAATTTTAGTTAATTATGTTATCTGGTCCAGCCCACATCTAATTATGTTGCATGTGGCCCGTGAACCAAAATGAATTTGACACTCCTGGCCTAGGTGGTACCAAAAACTACCAAAACTGTGCCATCAGAGCACAAAAACTACTAATGGTAAATATGTACTACATAGTAGTAAATAGAGTACTGTGTTTTGTGATCTAAAAGCTCCATTTACACCAACATTGTATTTAGAGTTTGCCGCAGCCTTGAGTCCTCGACTTGTGTCACGTAAATAACCTGATGACCTGCATTTATCTTAAAAGACGTATATTTGTTGCTGTGCCAAAATAAGAGCCATTGTGTGTCTCCCTGCAGGTTTAACAGATGGAAGACCGTTGATCTTTTTGTTTATCTTTGCCTGAATGGATTTAGAACATTTTTCCTCCTTCTCTTATCAGATGCTCTCCTTACAGGTACAGTTGTCCTCAGGAGGAAAAGTCACTGACATGGAGCCTGCTGCCACAACATCTTAGATGGCAATTAAAACATACATTTTTTTTAAAGTGAAAAACTCATAGTAGTAAGGCTTGGCTAAGTTCAAAGGACTGTGGAATCAGACAGGACCCAAATGGAGCACTAGAAAGATATCAGTTCCAGAAAGTGTATTTCACAGTTTTAAAAACTAATAGAATGCCAGGCAGGAAAAAGCAACACGCAGGAAGAGACAACAGAAACAGACCTGAAAGACAGGAACATGGAGCAGCATGAACGCTGAAGCACAGGAAAAAGCATGAGTGTGAACCAGAAACAGACAACCATAAAGGCACCACATACATTCAACAACATACAGTATACTAAACAATGACTCAACAAATACTGAGTGACAGAGCAAAGTATTTATACCTAAAGTGAGACTAATGAACAAGAGCTCACAGGTGAGAGTGATGACACTGATCATCACTGAGAAACATACAGGTTACTGCTCATCTCACTTATTTCACTGGGTGTTAATAGTGACTGTGCATCCTAAGAGTTGCATTACTGCCACCTATTGGATCAATTTTCACCTATAAGGATCAGTTGCAAAAACGAAAAAAAAAGGAAACTTTAGAGGGAACCATGCTTGCAGATAAACATGACACCATTTGTTTTAATTCTGTCTAATAACCTGTATCTACCTTAAGCTGCTATGAACCAATAGATGAGTAGGAACTTTTAAAAGTCTTGCTCCTGCCAAGAGTTTGTGTTGTTTAAGCTGAATTACCATCTAAACACTGTTTTTTTTAACAATTAAGACAAAGTGCATATATAATAAAGTACAGATAATAATTGCGAATCTAACGCACTAGATATTTTATTTTTGCTCATGAAGCTCACTGTTAAGCCAGGTTTATCAACATAAGCCAGGTTTATCAACAATACCATCAGCTGCACCATTCTCTTTCAGCTTTTGGAATAAACAGGACTTGGAGAGGGGCAGATGGATTCTGTTTTGAGGGCCATATAAACCAGACCGTACCTGTCTCAGTGTCTCTAAAGCAGTATATGAACATGCTCATCAGATTGAAGAGTTTTCTGGAGGGTAAAGCTGACGGTTAGGAGAGCTATTATTATTGTATTTGTTGTTCAAATACCAGTACTTACAGAGAGTTGAGGCTTAAAGATGTGGTTTTCACAACACAGATGACTAAAGACCGACATCTCAAGGATTGTTGTCTTCTCTTTTATTCTTCATGCTTGGGCAGTGTCTCTAAGTCTGTGCCTGCACCGACCTGGATTAACTGGATTTAGAGAGAATCTGAAGAAAACGGCAGACGTGAGGAGGAGTTTGTAACATTGCTGACTTATCTCATCTCCTCTTCTGTGTGCCCTGATCGTAGATTCTGCCAGAACGTGGCTCCATAGAGATTTGTTAGGATATGAAAATGTGTCTGGTACAAATGCCAGTGAATACAGTGTTAAGTCTGTCTTCTCTGTGATTATAGTGCATATGCTTATGGTTGAATTTGACTGTTTGACTGTTTTATTGTGAGCATGCTAATGATTAAAGAGGGACTGGCTTTTATAAAGGAGTTGTTTGTGGCAAAATGATTAGATTTTGATCTATATATGTAGTGAAAATGTATTTTACGTCAAGATTTTATTTTGATAATTGACATGAACTGGGAGAAACTTCACCTGCTGTCTCGTGTTGTCCCCACAAAGTCGCTTCTATTCACTGTCTGTTAATCAATGGTGGTTAGCATTTAGCATTTAGCCTTTAGCGGCTTGCAAAAACACATACTTACACTAAACCATTAACACTTAATGAGGGGGTTATTGATTGGCAATTCAGATTACAGATTACATTACAGAGAGACTACTGGGTCATAACAGTTTTCATTTTCTACCCAGCAAATGCTGATGCATATATTGTATTTTATTGTCACGATTACCTGTTGTTTTACTTCTCCCATTTCTTTTTCCTTTACTTAATGTGAAAGAAACATTATATTATTGTCTTTTGGCATTCAAGATTAATCTATTGCCAGCCATGTTGGTCATTTACCCTTTTGAAAGAAGCTATTTTGACAGGTATTCCTGTCAAATAGTCATTTTCTAAATGAAAATATTTTTTGCACTCATCATGAATAAAATGCAAATAGTATGTTACTTGTTTTACTCTGCATCCTGGTACTTTCACTCTGCACTACAGATGTTGTCATAATGATGTTGCACCACAGAGCCATTGCCTAACATTTTTGCCATTTATTGAGAGGAGAACCTGTCAGGTGTGCTTGTTAGAGTTTTTCTAATAGCCTCAGTGATACTGCATGTCAATACTCACCCCAGTGCGATAAAGTGTGTGGTCGCAGCAGCCATCATGTAGCTCTTCAAGGTGGCCAATGATGCTTTGAAAAACATGCAGATCTCTGTACAGATGGGGAGAAAGCTAAAGCCCAACCACAAAGACAGCCTTTGTCAGTGCTCCAATATGCCGTGACTGTCAAATTTGCTTATCAAAGTTGATAAGAAGATTTAAAACAGCCCTGATCTTTTCTCATGGGAACGCTCATAAACTTCCTCAGGTAGTGTAACTGGATCATACATGTTACTGCAGCAGATAACCGGCTGCTTTTCTTTTCCCATCCGCAGATGCAATGCCACATCCCACAAAGCTGATGGTTAGGTTTGATTGTGAGCAGAAAGAAAAAAGAGAAGGAGAGAAAGATAGAGAATAGCAACAGACAGAGTAATTTTCCACATTGTTTATTTTTTGGATAATGTTAAAAGGTTGTGGAATAGTTTACTGCAGATTGAAGCGATTTCAGAAGAGGACAGAGGAGATGGGCACTCTATTGTGCAATTCATATAAACAACCTGCTCCTGGACACGGGCGAAAACTAAACACAGTGTGGGCAACAATGTTACCCTAGCAGTGTACGTGTCCTGAGGCATGTTGGTTTGAAAATAAAGCTCTGCACTGTCTTTATTTCAATAAAGAAAAAAAAAAAAACACCCACAGACTTCTTCGTCTTGTTTATCATTAGACGGTGTATTATGATGTGTACATAGAAAGATCTGACAGCATTACTAGTTCAAGCCTGCAGTATTATATATATAATTATATATATGCTGTATACTACACACATGCACACCATTGTTGGTGCATATTTGATTTAATACAATAAAATTGTAAAAATGTACATTTTAGAGTGATAAAACATTTGATTAAATGCCCTCAGCTCCCACAAAGTCTTTTTACCATATATGTCAAACCTCTGACTCCTGTGAAACCCACTAGGAGTCCCTCCATCCCCAAGAGAAAGTCCTGCAGTGCTTGCAGTTCAGCAAATATTGCTTGCTGTGTAAACACAAAATCAGGTGCAATGCGTCCTCTATTTTTTCTTCGTTTTCTTCTTTTACTTCTCTTTCTTCCTCATCTTATTCCTTATCCTTCCCTTCTTCCCTTTCCACGTCTTTATTGTCACTCTGTTTTTGTTCTTCTTTATCATATTCATCATTTTCTGCTTCTACGTCTTTTATTTCTTCTTCACGTTTCCTCAACATCATCACATTCTTCTTCTCCAATTGGTTCTTCTTCTTCAGTTCTTTTCCATCACCTCCTTCCTCATTTCCATCATCTTCTTCTACTCCTTTCTCATTTTTTCATCTTCTTCCTCTTCTCCTCCTGTTTTCCTCCTGTGACATAACGTGTGTTGATTTCCATCCATGTTACATTTTGTTCTTTCCTCTTCTTCAAGTACACATATTAACAATACCCATTCCTGTCTTCTTTGTAAAAATGACAAATGCAGATGTGGAGGAGTGAAGAAGAAGAAAGTGAAGAAGTGAAGAAGCAGTAGGATGAATATGTGATGTTTTAGTGTAAGACAAACACAACTCACTACCAAACCCTTCGTTTTTCTTTAATCGACAACATCCATCCATCCATCCATTTTCATCCGCTTATCCGTTATCGGGTCGCGGGGGCAGCAGTCACCACCCAAATCACATTGCACCATACCAACCCCCCTGAACCTTCCTGTGGGTGGTGAGTCCACTGGAAGGTACCAACCGCCCTAACCGGGAGTTGAACTTACCCAGGAGGTGAACCCTGGGGTTCCACACCAATGACAGAGACATTGCCTCTGGGCCAAAGCGCCACTAATCGACAACAGTACTGGCCCAAATAGTAGTTATACATCTACTCTTCACGCTGTTATTGGTATAATTCCGCCCTCTACTGGAGCAATATGACTACTCCATGGGGAAAATAAATAGCTTTTGAGAATTCATTATTACTTGAATTTTAATATTAATTTCTTTATATACTTCCATTTATATTTGTAATAATTTCCCAAAAGACCTTAACTATGGGTACAGTATATGTTTTAATTTAAACCAAGGGTCACCGACCTTTTAAACTGAGAGCTACAGTACAGAAAAATACAAAGCGCTACATCATTGATACACACTTGAATAATATAATCATTTTTAGAAAATAATGCTTCTTCGTTAGGGTTCTGGGACATACAGTAGGGGAGTCTCTTCCTACCATGGCAACTGAACTCACTTTAACATCATTACAAATGTAATTGATTCAAAAAGTCTAGTCTTTTTTTTTTTCTTCAAATATACGCCCCTGATTTAAACCGTTTAAATGTTGATGACATTTTTCAAAAAATATAATATTTAAAGACCCCAAACGTAAGATTTTAGATAAACACTTTTTAACATTCAAATGAAAAAGTCATCAATTTTAGGCACAGAACATAAAAATAATACAAAATTAAATCAATAATAAAATATATAAACTGTGTTTTTCTATTGGATGTTTATTTCAGCTCCAGTGTTACATACTGTAGAATCAGATGTGCAATCAGTCTATATCATGGTCAAAGTTCCAACCACTTCATTTCTTCAGATGGCACACAGCAAAGAAAAATTATAATAATAATAAATATTATATATATATATATATACACACACCATACATATATACACCATATATATATATAATATATATATGCACCATACATATATACAGTATATATATATATATATATATACTGTATATATGTATGGTGCATATATATATTATATATATATATGGTGTATATATGTATGGTGTGTGTATATATATATATATATATATACTTATATTTGAGCTTTAACAGCAAATTATATTTATGTACACAAAAAAACATACAAATATAAGCTCTTCTGCTTCACTGATAAAAAAATATAGGGATGTTTCAAGTGTGCATATTAAAAGTATATGGACATTTATTGTGCACCAGTTTTAGGAATAGATATTCCTATACTTTAAACTATAAAAAGGATTAATTGATGTCTGTATATTGAAATCATTAATAATTTGGATGGACTGACATCCAAATTAGTTTTGACAGTAACGGCCAGACTTTTTGTTTTTGTTGATGCTAATGTTTAACCACGGTGTTCGCTCGTGTTTGTAAAAACACTCTCTAAAGCAGATACAGACTTTCCAGGCTAAATATAAATGAACGGGTAAAAGAGAGTAACTTGTTTGCTTTCCCCCCAAGGTACCAACAGTAAACATCATTTGTCTTCTTTGACAGTGAACAACCAGAATGTAACTTTTACAAAGAAGAGTTAACAATGAAAGCAATGAAACATTTACAAAACAATGACATGGAAGTGTAGAGCTAAAACTCTTGAGAATAAAGAAGAAATCAGACACACAGTGTCATTGCATTACAGATCATCACAGACTGGATGTGTTTGTTTTATATGCATCAGTGAATGTCTTTGGTATATTTACACGCATCCTTCTTTGCCAACATTGTTATTTTGCAATTCTTGAGCACTTATGGAATATGGTGTTTTTAAAAAATAAAATATAAAAAAAGCTTGGTCATCATCACTCAGTGTTTTTAAAGAAGTATTACACTAATGTGTGGTTGTTCAGACCGTTGAACTCAAACCTTTAACGATGCTAGATCTTAATTTTGTCACAATTGCTGGCTTTGTCCCAGTAGGACTAGTTACTACCCAGTTACTACCCAGTCATGGTGAGTCAAGTGACTCACCATGGTGACCTGATGGGCGCTCCTTGAAGATTTATGTGCAGGTGTGTCTCATTAAGGCACGCTTAGCCCTTAAGTTCTCCAAGAAACAAGGACAGTGTTAAACTCCATACATGTTGGACCAAGTTTTCTTGTTTTTCACAGAAAGTACTTAATGACCTTGAACTATGAAGCCATGTACTGAAAAATAGCTTCTCTTTCTACCTGTTGGCAAAAAATATGTAAGCAAAGTTTATGAAGTTTGAGGTTGAAACAATACAAAACAAATAAAAAAATAAGTCTGGCTGATTATCAGATTAAATGTCTGTGGAAGAACATGTTGTCTTTTGTATCAAACGGCGCTGTAGAGAGCAGTGAGCACGCAGGAAGTGTTTAACTATAACAGGAAGACAGATAAAAAAAGGATTTAGAACAAACATACATCTGGTTTAACTAGGTTCAGGGCGTCATAGCCCAAGTTATACAACATCATCAAAAGAATTGCTGAAAATATTTTAACCTTCAGCTGTAAAGGTTATTATAGTACAAACACAATATATCACACCAGAACAGATACACATAAAGCTCAAGACATTATCATAATTTCAAGTAACAGCACTATTTGTTTCATGGACCTGCATAATGCAGAAATGGTCACTGTACATCAGCAACCTAATATAAAAAAAATATTCTGAGAAATTTGGATGCAAGCAAATAGCTGAACAAAAAGCACATACTATTCATGAGGCACTTGGTAAAAACTATAGGGAGTGTGTCATCATGATTATCCTATTAAAACACTACTAAAGAAAACAAACACTTCCTAAAACCAACCTCAAAAAGCTGGCAAAAATAAATAAAACTTTTAATTTTAAAAACAAGAACTCATCCACATTAAAAAAATTATGTTTAACCTGTTATCCAAATTATAGGTTTAAAAAATATACAACTGCTGCTAATCAAAGAAATTATTTTGAAAAAACACATACTATATGTGTACACAAATAAATTAATATTTATATATAATATATAAATATATGCATATGTATACATATATGCATGTACATATATATGACTTTGTAGTCATCTTGCTGCGTATCCTTTTTGTGAAACATCACAACTCAAAGAAAGAGAAACCACAATAACAAAAACACACAGTAAATATGAGAACACACACACCATTCTCTGCTGCACCTTCACGTGAGACAGCCTCTGATGCTATTCACACAATAAACTGATGTTTGTTTTTCAGAGTTTGCCTTCCTTTTGTCAGTCAATTTTAATTGCACCTACTGTTTCGACAGGAAGTATTTGAAAAACTCGTACACTGACCAGGCTATAGCAGTGGATGGCATCTGGTATATCACCCGTGCCTGGATTCCTTTAAAGAATCCCGCCAGACCACCGAGTCGGTACACTGTTCTGAAGGCATTGGCCATTCCTGTCAGGTGTCCGCTGATGTTCATAGAGCTCAGTGCTACATTCTCCTGTGTGTTGAGCAGCGTTTTACAAACATCCAGTGGAGTAGTTATCGCTGCAGACACAGCTCCAGCCGCCGCTCCTGACACAATGTGGCTCCCAGGATGGTAATGTCTGTGGGGGTTTAGCTGCTCCTGCATTAGCTCGTAGGTGATGAAGTGCACGGCCTGGAATGGTATGTTCATGGTCAGCTGTGTGCTGTAGCTGCGGTAAAAGGCACCGACACCTTCGGCCCGTGTTATAGTTTGAACACAATCCCAGAGTCCGCGATATGGCGAGTTGTACATTTGCATCCTCTGCTTTATCACTGAGTGAAGGAGGCAAACAAAAAAATGTAACTTTTTTCCCCCACATATTGTAGACAAAAAAACAACATATTAATTAATAACAAAAACATTTCTACTAAGGTTTGGAATACTGTGGGGGTTTTCCTATACTGATGCTGATGCTTTGTGCCAACAGTGCCTGAAGTGATATAACACAGATGAATATAGGAGACACACAGAGGTGTGGTGATAATTCAATTATTGGTTCAAGTCCCGGCTCTAAAGCATGGTGCCTCTTTATTCAGTCTATATGGTGTTCCCTTAAAAATACTTAGAACAAAATCAGTAATTGTTGAAAGTTTCCCAGAATAGTAATTTAGATTATTTTCCAAAGAGAAGTCTCTTTGTCTTATATAAATTTAATTAAAATATGACATATTTTATTTTAGAAATAATGCACAGTGACAGTTAAAGTGTCACTTTGTGTGACAACAGACTAAAAAATTCATACTGAACCAACAATAAATTATGGAAAAACTGCAGCATTTTAAACTTACTGGATATTTCAGGCGATCCTTTTCGAATTCCGGATGACACCACATGAGGTTGTAAGCCCAAGGTTGAACAACATTGTTCTACATCTAAGTTCTATAGTTACAACAGGAGCTGTGTTCTTAGTGCTTATCACTGGTCTAACAAACATGTCTTTGTTAAAGAACAAATCTTTACCTTCAGCTGGGTTCATCACTGCGTCATGGAGAACAGTGGCCACACTTCCTGCCACCCCTGTTAGAAAAAAAAAAAAGGAATGTCACATTTGGTTCATCCATATTTTGTTCGTCCTTCACCAGCTCAATACTGAATTGACAGTTAAAGCACAAAAATTTACTGCATAAAAGCTTATTCTTTAGCGTGTTAGCACAGGCATGCCGGCAAAAACTGAAAACCAATAACTCATACCATTGGCTAGGTGGCTGTTCCCTCCACTCTGGATGACATCACTCAGTGAGCGTTTGACCCGCTCGTAGCAGGCGAAGTAGAGGGCATGGGCCGGTCCTGCTCCTATCATAGTGATGTTGAGGCCTCTCAGCGGTCTGAAGACCCCTTCGGTCTGAACCATCTTTTTCAGAGCCTGATACACACCTCTGTACTGGGCATTTGGGTCTGGCTGCAAGCTCTGCATCCTCGTCTGGAAGAATCGAAACATATGCCTTCAATGACATTTTATTTTTTCAGTTCCAGGTTCACAGGTGAAGTTCCAGTTCACCTGTGGTGCACACACTTTAAGAAGCCAGGTATTCCCAGCAGATTCTTCAAATGCATATTCTGCAAGATCTGTGAAATTTGGCTCATTTTCCTTGTCCTTTTTCATTTTTCATGTCCTTTACATTTTCTCAATGTCTTTTACTGACTCATTTTTAAGTGTTTTGTTTTGCATTACCTAAGATATTCAGTGTTGTCATACCATGGTCAGAATAAGTCCATGTGCCCAAAACTGAGGCTAATAAGCTGGAGTTCTGGTTCCTCATCATGGTCTATAGACTTATTGTAGTTTTTAGTTTTTGTCATGCACATGCCACAGAACTGATTTCAGTAATCTACACAGGACTTTTACAGCAGTAGACACAAAACCAAGTACTAGGTCCTGGCAACAGAAGTTTCGAGTACTGTGCCAAAATAATTCAGCAAAAGTGTACATCTGTTGTAAGGTCAGTCCTGTTCTTAACATATTGTATAGTAACTAGTTGTTCTGACAGTAAGTGCTCTTGGCATGGTGTGTGTGTGTGGGTGTGTGTGACTCTACCATGTCCCAGTATTGGGCCCAAAACAAAGCATGTTTTCATTTGTCAGAGGATCTGGAGCTGACTGCGGAAAGCGACTACGTCCCTCTTCCTCGCGTTCCCATTTCTCCCTTCCTTTGGCTCGACAATAAAGAATCAATTACGCTTCTTTTTGATTCAGATAATACACAATGCACACTCAATTGGTAACATATAGACAAATGATGTGTGTGAAAGTTGAAAAAGTGAAAATCTTGAGTTAATTATTAAAGTGAGGTAAATGTCAGCGAGTACATTCAATCACACTAAATAGGAAACAGAGCTAAAGTAGCTGCCCTCCTCCACTTAACGTTTCAGCAGCAATTGTACTTTTGTCATTTGGTAATCAACGCATCACAGAAACAAGCTCATTTGCACATGCACAAACGCCCTTAACTGTATGAGGGTGATCCCAAATGTGCACAGAATCGATAAGAGTCCCCTCCTAGCATTAGTACAGGCTACTCCCTGAGCACTATCTGTATCTGTTTGCTAAACCCACTACTGTAATGCAAGATAAGAATGCATTATTTAAAAAAAAATAAAGTCCCTACAGGTCTGTGTTTATAATGCAATTATGAAAAAAAAAGGAACTGTGACTGCATCTTGCATCAGTTTGGAGCAACCTAAATTACAAAACAAGTTGTTTTAAAAAGCACAACCACACTGACCCATATGAAGATTGGCAGCTGGAAAAGTACATATGGACGTGATGTCACTGGTTATTGTATTAGAGGGCTATTTTTTTATATTTGCAAATATGGATTCAGATGCAATAATAGCAAAACTGCTTTTACATTTGCAGACAGAGCAAGTTTCTAACTTTTATAAACCAAAAAATAACACTTATTCTATCTACTCACAAACTTGTTGGATTCCCACAAATAAATAATTTACTTTCAATGTGTTATATACAGTTACTTCACCCTTAAAATTTGTAGAAGTACATTCAAAAAAGATGTGACGGTTTCTCTTTTGAAATAATTGATGTTGAACTGACTGTGACTGATTCTTTGCCTTGTTACTTAAGTTCTACTGTTGCAGGTCAAACAAAGTCACAGAACTGGTCATAAGGTCATAAAATGCTTCAGCCTGTGATCATGATGTTATCACTGTCAGTGATGTGTTGTCATACAACTGCGAAATGCTGCATTCACGATAACTAGAAAAAACAATTTAATTTGTTAAAACCATTTCAAAGGCTTACACTTCTTACTCATTACTCACTCAAACCTTTTCTTACAGGTTGCACACAGTAAAATGTCCCAACTTTTTTTTAAAGTGACCTAAATTCACATTATCAAGCTGTGCTTCATAATCCTTCTTTAATGACCTGTGCTTATGGACCACCTATTGCATATTTTGTGAAATGTCTTCCAAACAGCAGTGGACGACAGATCTCACTAAAATGGATTTAGATACCTGATTCCACTTGAACCTAAAACTTGAAGAAAAAAAATTAATAATGTGTTCATAATATACTTACTAAAAGCATAAAAAATACTAAAAGTACTTACAAGTGCTAAGGACAAAATGTTTTTTCTTTTTTGTTTTATCAAAGTAAAAGCACCTGAGCTACATAATAATGAAATATCCAGTTAGCAGTATTTTTTGATGGTTTACAACAATTACAGAACATACTAAACACATTAGCTGAATATACTAAGTACACGAGCTACATTAGCTATGTAAAACGACTCTTGTCCTGTACTATATCAATAAATAGAATACTTTTGAATTATCTGAATCATTCACTTCTTAACCAGTCTACTGCTTAATCCCGGCGGTTTGTTTCTCCTGCTCAATGGGCAGTGACAACTCTCTACCTTTATGTCAAACATCAGTCTTCTAAGTCTACCATAGCGCTTTAACAAATGACAACTCAGACCCTTATATACATACTGTATTTTAAATAGAGTAAGTCTTTTAACTTCACATGCGTCTGACCTTGAGTTTTTTTTTTTAATGAATAAAATATGAAATGAAATGATGAAATACATGATTTCAATTACGTCTGCTAATTAAATATAGCTCCTTTACCGAAATTGTTCTCTGAAAACTCCCATTCTTAAAGCACTTGGGATATACGTTTAGAAAAGAACGTATTGTCCTCTACTCCTGGACACTTCGAAGCCGGAAAGTCTGTGCATATTTGACAAGTTAAGAAGTGAGTTCATTCAGTAACCAGTAATACAATGTTTAACGTTGACCTCCTTGGGCTCTCTCCGTGTTTGAGTTTCTATGAGCTAACGCTGCTGCTAACTGTGCACAGCAATTGAACCTATTTAAAGCTAATAAGAGTTAGCATCTGCTATCAGATTGTTAGCAGTGGGAGTGTAGCCCGTTAAAACAAGCCTTCGTGTGACTGCGTTACCTTGACAGAGTCCACGGGGTACATCACCGTGTGCTCCAGGATACCAGCCACGGCTCCGGCTGTCATGTGGTTGACCACTGAGACATGAGCAGGTAAGCTCTCGTAGTCACCGTCGCTGTTCAAACCGTCCTCTTCCGGGACAGGTGACATCTCCAGTGGTACCGCCACACCTTCCGCGGTCACCTCCATGTGTGGGGAGTCGCTCACCGGGGTTCTCCTGCGGAAGAGAAGCCTCAGTGGAGCGTGGATGCAGGTGAAGGCGGCGGCATGGACAAGTACAACATCACTACTTTACCAGAGTTTCAGCACCCGTGTGACGTTGGCAGCAGAGAAGGTGGGTCTTTGGAGCATTTACACCATTCATGTTACAACTTTTGAGCAAATGGGTGGTATCTAATATTTGAGGCAGCGAATCAGAAGTTTCCCTGCTAATTTTTTCCGAGAACTTACACGCCTTTTATAATTGTAAAGCGCTCATAATCTTTTCAGTTAAATAAGACATAATTAAATATTATTCTTTTTTAAAAATTAATATATACTGTAAGTGTAAAGAAAGGTTGACTTCTATATTCGAAAATTGTGAAATCACACAAATATCTTACTCTTGAACAGATTGTCTTCATTATGGTGGAAATTCTTTTGCGGATATTTCAAATGTATTCTTCAAATTTTAACAATAAATGAAGAATTGGAAGAAAATATCTGTAAAATCCTCTTTGTTGATGTGATTTGAATTGATGTGAATTCAATTGTGAATTTTGGAAAATTCACAATTGAATGTGTGAATTTTGGAAAATGGAATGGAAAATAAATCCTGAACTATGTTTTTAAAAAAAAAAAAAAAAAAAAAACTTTTTAATAATATTCCAAATCAACACAAAGTCTCTGAACCAATTTTATGATCCAATTGTTGTCATTTTCAACCTTTTTAACAAATATTATATTTTATGTCCATGTGTATCCCAGCTTTTCTATGACCGTTTTATGACATACATACAATATGTATTATTGACATGCAATCCAGCCAAAATAAATAAGTAAGCTTGTTTTTCTTATCAGACAGCATCTGTTAATTAACACAGTGGAGAAGTCAGCTGTCAATGAGAATTTTCCTCCAGCAATCATCGCTTAACAGGATATAGGCAAAGGAAATACATTTCACTATGTGTAAAATTGTTAATATTATACAATAACAACAACATATTTTTTGTTTGAAAGTTATTCAGTTTGCAAATCTTCTGAGAGTTGTGCCAAGACTACAGTTTACACAAATACTGACTAGTTCTCAGTTCTATTGATACATGTACATTCATATTTGCCTTTGATGCTTACATTAGAGTCACTCATATTTGTATATTCATTTGCAAGTCCATTATTATGTAGTATGTAGTACTTCCAGAAATAATTTACAGTTTAGAAGGATTGAGGTTACTAAAAGTGAAATAATAATAATAATTTATTGCATAAATCCAGTTTTATAAATTCCAAATTCACATTTGCATTGCTCTGAAATTCTTGGGGACACGTGAACTGTTCAAAGTACCCTAGTGAATACAGAAACCTCTGTGTAGTGCATTCATGCTTTTAGTTTCAGTCTCTGAATAAAAAACACAAGACCAGATCTGATAATAGGATCACATAACAGTGTTTTTCTAATGTCATCCTTACTGAGTTTTTAATTCCCTACAAGATTTTCTGATGCTGCCCTACACACACACACACACAACATTCTGTGTTTTCCAACTGTTTCTTTATTTTATTTTTTTGAAGTACCCATTTGTCAAACTACCTGATTCACCACTAATATACCTCAACATAACCTATGAATTCTCTGTGTTGTCTGCTCTTTACACACTTGAACCTGATCCTTTGACTATCCTATAACACTCACTGTTCTCTGAAACTTAAGCTCTCCACACACACAAAAAAAACACTCTACAGTGTCTTAGTGGGTGTGTCAGTGAAGGAGTGTAACACACCAGTGACTCAGCAACATGAGAGGACACTTGTTCAGGAAAGTTGTATTTCTGTCATAACAAAAGAAGTTTTAATCAAAGCCGCCAATGTGTTGGTAAAGTTATGAATGAGTCCTTGTTTTTTTTGTTTTTTCTTTTGACAAGTTCATTCAATACTATTTGAAAATCTGTAATCCAGTTCACATTTCAAGTACAGTAAAATGAAAAGTAGAAATATAGTGAGATTAAAAAACCCAAAACATTGCTGTTATAATGACGTGTATTTGGACACATATTTTTATCTTTTCTTTTTTCAAATAAAACACTTATTTACAATAAATTTTGATAGGTTGCTTTGTAAAATTTGTCAAAGACAATTCAATTTGATTTACACCTACTAGTGTGTTAGCATTGTTAACCAAACTCATCTATCTCGGTCCAACTGTGAAGGCATCTCCAGACAATTACTGTACCTCATCAGGTCACACTGCAGACTCTGGCTTTGGTTTAGAGGTCACCTTTAAACTCCAATATGCAAAAACGTAAACGTAAAATGATTTATCAGTTATTTTATACTTTTAAATAGTCTCCTCGGATTTGATGTAAAATACACTGCTATTCGAAGCTAAGTGTGTATTGTATTGTAATTCCCTCTATCTTTACTGGCACTCTTGTTTTTGCTCAAGAAAAAACAGCTTCACTACATGATCCTGCCACCACCATGCTTAACACTGGCTGTGGTAATCTCACATCAGACCATCCATCATCCATTTCCATCTGCTTATCCGTTACCGGGTCACGAGGGCAGCAGTCGCCACCCAAATCACATTGCACCATACCAACCCCCCAAACTTTCCTGCTGGTGGTGAGTCCACTGGAAGGTACCAACCGCCCTAACTGGGATTCGAACTTGCCCAGATGGTGAACCCTGGGTTGACAGAGACATTGCCTCTGGGCCAAAGCGCCACACATCAGACCATATCAAAGAAATATTTGAATACTGTCTTCTCACATCCCTTGACGTATGTTGTCATATATTGGGAGCAAACTGTACCTACAGCACTTCTTTCGACATTTTACTTGTCTATTGAAAGTTGGTGTATCATGTGTAAATCACGAGAAAATCTTACTACAGTGAAGGACATTCTGGAATGTGAAGGAACAGTAGACAGAGGGAGATGCTTGGATTCTTCACAGGAATGCAAAAACAATTTGGACTATTTTTTATCTAAAGGCTGCACCTGAGAAGACCAAATGATGGCAATCATGAGAAAAAAAAGAGGATGTATCATTTCACACAGTAATGAAATATTGGATTAGGATTACTTTACTTGGCTTGTTTTTTTTTTTTGTTTTTTTTTGCAACATTTCTGTGGTTTCTGTTAGACTCAGGTGCCATCCAATCCTACCAGTAAGTACAATAAATGTTTAATTTCATTATGGAAGTTCCACTGATAAGGGCTACAACCTTCTTCTCATGGTGACTGTGCATCTTTGATGTCCCACCACGGTGTATCAGGTGTTTTGAGTTCCCCTCACACGGCTCACTGAGGGACAGTTCCCTACTTGTTTTTTCCACAGACTGTAATGACGTGGTCAAAAAAGTTTTCGGTCGAGTCAGATCTGGTCCTTATGAAATAAAAAAAGAAAGTCAGAAAACTATATATAAAACTTTATTATTGAATTGCAATGTGACAACATTTGCTCTGAAATCAGCTGTGCACTAAACCATTGTCATATAGATACCGGCGCTGGTATGACCTGACTTACAATTCCCCTCCCACCAGTGACATGACAGCTTCAAAAACGAAGCCCAACATAAATATAGAAATATATGATACAGCATACAACATTAACAGTCAGATCACCTGATGCAGGATGTTTTGTAGGACTTCTGGAGAAATTTAACATCTACGCGCCCACAAAAAAAAAAGATGTATTTTAAAAAGGACTTCCCATCAGTGTCAAGACATGTATTGCACTAAAGGCAGAACCATCAAAAAGAAAAAAAAGATGCACAAACAAAGAGCATTACAGCTGGGAAGTGTTGTGCAGTCCTATTTTGCAGCACAAAGTGTCTTTCATTGATTATTATAAATAGTACCTGTGTAAACCATTAAAAATAAGTGTATAATAACACACAACATGATGACAAAAATAAACTGCCAATTGTTTTGAAAACAGATGGAAAGAAAGCCAGAGAGAAGAAATATTTTTTAGAAACAAAAGACACCTGAAGGCAGCTGCCATTTAAATTAAAAGAAGGCATGGAAATCAAGACACGGGTATATTTAAATCTCAAACTCAATAAATTAATCACTATGATCGGCTCAGCTTAGCCCGAGGGTTAACATCGTCATTTTCATTCATCCATATTCTCAGTACCAGGATGTTCAGAGATTGATGGGAAGTGTGGCCGAGCTGAGGCCCTCCTCCAACCAGGCCACAGAGGAGGGCGAACAGCGCTTTGCTGCATGCCGATGGATGCGGCGCAGTCGCATTAGGTACAACATTATAGACAAGAGCACAATGAAGAAACAAGCCAGGAACAAGTAGTGGTTGTTGACGAAGGAAAAGCTGTGTCTCCAGTGAGAATGAGCTCCTTTTAGGCTTTCCTGCTGGATGTCCCTGACAGAAGGCAAGAGAACAATAGAAACGTGTTATTCAATAGTTGACGTGACAAGGTGCTAATAACACTACTGTATGTGGTATACCATGACAGCAAGTGGTGAGAATACTGTATGTATTGCAGTGGCCCTCAGTCTAAGCACATGAGACTACATGCCTTTAAGTTCAGTGTTTTTCAACTTTTGTCTGGGGACCCAATATGGGTTCAGCTGGAATTCAAATGGGGTCACCTGAAATATCTACTAATTGATAAAAAAACAAATTACCGATAAAAATATTTTTTTCAACTAATTGTAATTCTTTTTAAAATTATGATTAAGAACACTACAAACAATTTAAACAACTGTATTCTTTCACTTTTATGAACATAAATCAACTTAAAACTACTGTGCAGCATATGATAATATCCGAGCAGAAACATCTTGATTGATGACTCTGATCATGACTGCACACGTGACAGCTGCTAAAATGTCTCAGGTGTTGCCAGTCATAAGCCAAAAAGTTTGGCAACCACTGCTTTAGTTAGTAATAAAACAAAAGAAGTTAATGTTCACGTCAGTAAGCTAATGTTAAAAACATGATTATCCACCAACTGAAGACATGACTTACTATTGAAATAAATAAATATAGACGTATGTTGACCACTGTTTGCCACTTCATGTGAGTAAATTGCTTCAGAATTGCAGAAAGTTTCCCATTCAAAATGATAAGAAATTATATGCCAAACTAGTTCATGTAAATCCTCACAATTTTAGTCTTAATTTAATAAAACTAAAGTCGGTTTCATAGTGTAGTGGTTAGCACCCCTGCCTCGGAAGCAGCAAGTCTTGGGTTCGATTCCCAGAGGAACCACATGCTTGTCGCTTGCTAGGGGCAGCCTGTTAACACCATATCTACTGCTAACACAAATTTACTTTTTTTTTTAAAATATCAGCATATTGAAGGACTTTATAAGTACATCATAGTTTTACATATACATATTTTCTATCAGGATAATTGTAGTGGTTTTAGTTCTTCTATAAAAGACAAAAATGGCAATTCATAATTTAATAGGAACATTTCATACAAAAATACAACATTTACCTTTAATATTTAAATACAATAGTCCTGATAAATATTAAAAAAAATTCACACAAACTAAGAAAGACATCTCAAAAGTCAAAAGCACATTAGAAACTTTTTTTATTGCTTATAACCCGGTAAATAGTTAAAAAAAAGTTTACCTTAAAGGCAGAAACCGTGTTCTGTACAGTATGGCACCAAGAGTCCACTGCACCTCTTTATCGTAGACAAGTTGGGCAGTTTTTAGATTTTTATAATTGCTTGGGAAAGAAAATCCAGAGTGCAGTACTTCATACATCCATGCCGATTTAAAACACTGGTACCTGGAGACAAAAGCAAACTACTGAATACTACTAACTACAATAACACCCAGTGAAAATGCCAAGGGTTTAAAACATTGTTCTAACGTTGCCTTCTTGACCTACTTGAGTCTGTGTAGATCAGCGTGGGAGGCATACAAGCCTGACTCAAAGCGTTCCCTCAGAGTTTTCCACTGGGTGGCACAGTAACCCTACAAATACAAAACAGCGAACCACAGACAAAATGAATATTTTTCCCCACTGCATTCAAGCACATATTCAATATGACAACAGCCTTGTCTGTATGACCTATGAAGGTTGTGGTGCAAAAATTAAAAAATGATACATAAATAAAGAGCATCCCTCTTCTGCAGGAATGATGTGAGCACAGTCAAACTGCCTTTGTCTATACCTAAGTTAAATGAGCCTGTTCAAGATTGTGGTGTTGAATGATCTAAATCCTAAACTATGTCAAACAACTTACTGAAGGGTGAGTTTTTTTTATATATCTTATTTAGGTTTAGATATATGTAGTTTTGAGGTCAGACAAACAACATAATGTGTACCTTAGCAGCTTGGGTATATTTTGAAGAGTTGTAGTCACCACCCATGCGCAGAACGTCCTCTGTGCAGTAGTAGAATTCGGAGAAACCATAGAATTGACTGTTAACGTAGTCAATGTTAGGCTGGTAGACACCATTCAAGGAGGTTTGGGTCTCGTTAGTGCGGTTGAGGAACGGCTGCAGAATGAGGCGACACTGGTCAAAGTCTCCTGTGCCTCGCAGATGGAGCTTTTGTAGGTCTGGACCAATCTCATCCTGCAGGTCCGTGGGAAGACAAGGATCTAGGATGGGAGACTCAGGAGTCTCACCAATGTGCTGGCCTAAAAGTCTAAACAGATGGCAAATCAGTAAGTGCAGAAGTTGTTTTTACAAGAGAAATAAAAGTTCACCTCTCAACTCAAGCCCTCACTTGTTTCGAGTTGCTGTATCTCTGACAATGTTGTCCTCATATCTTTGGCGAGCTGCATTTCCCCCAAAACCCAGGAAGGTAGAAACATAAACACGGTAAACATGCTCTGTGCGATGAGCATCACATCCCAAGTTAAACTCTGCCAGCATGTTCTTAGCAACTTCCTCCTGATATCAAAAGAAAAGAAAACAATTGGGGAAAGACAGCACTCTTTTAATTAAGTCACACACACGCATGCACATTTCTCTTAAACATTAGCAAATACAATATATTTTTTAAGTGAACCTGGCCCTTCAACAGGTCACCTACTTTAGACAATAACTTTGGGTGTGGGGCTGCATTTTGTTAATAGCTTTAATAGGTGTATTTCAACACAACACTCAAGCAAAGGGCTTTTAGTACATTCATCAAAAGGGTGTGAACACCAGAAATTGGGTCATTAAACCCAAGGGCTGCAAAACCTGCCTGCTAATTTGTCCTGTGTGTCTTTGAATTATATCACATTTGAGAAAGAGGGGAAGTTAATGTCAAAATTAATTGTCGCCATATTACTTTTTGTGATGTGGGCTGATCAACAAGCAAGATAAATATTCTCTAATGTTAAATCATGCAGCAAACACATTACATTTATTATTAATGAGTAGAGAACAAATATTTTCCCAAGAGGAAAAAAGAAAGTTTAGAGGTGGATGGAAAAAAATGATAGAAGTTTTCAGAAAAACAACACAGAATGAGTGACATAACCAAAGAGGACACACAAACAGAATTGGTCGTGGATAATAACCTGTTGTGGAGAAGCAAAGCTTACAGTTTTGGGCACTTCGTATGCGATCTGTGTGGAGACACCGCCCATGTCCAAGACACCGGCGGTCCTTTTTCTCACCAGTGCTTCTTGCTGATCACTGCCTGGGACTTGTACTTCTACTACAGCTTCTTTATCTGGTAACAGTTGACAGGAGAGGCAAAACAAGACAAATAAAAAAAAGAAAATCACCAGATAACTACTGCTGTAGAGATATCAATGAACTTGGCTTCTTACCACTGTGCACATGGTCAAATGTTCCTAAAACAAAGTTAATTCCAATCCATGCATAGACACCTGTAACCAGAGAAAATTAATCTTTATAAACTTTTCTAAATTTTTCTCAGATACCAACCAATTCAATTAATTTGTTATGTTAAGTCTTATACATCACGAGGCGTTGTGCAGTGAACAGAATAAAGAACATTACTGCAAAAACAAAGATTTTGTTTGCAGTAATGTTTTAGAATATTTTCATTATTTCATAAATTTACCTTCCTGTTTTCCAGAAATGACTTCCACGTGGGAATCAGAGAAGAGAAAGTTAAAGTGGACTGGGATGTCTGTGCGCAGATCCTCTAGAATTGCTTCCTGTTGACTAAGAACAAATAATCAAAGAGATTTACTTAGGCAAGTGAAGTTTAAAACTGGATTGATGATACAGTAAACTTGCACTTTCTTTCTTGACCCTGAGTTTATACACCTTAGAATATGGTCTCCACCATCTACCTGTGTTGTACCATGACATTATCCATTACCAAATATGGTAACTGACTCGACATTTATTCATTCTATCCTCATTTAAAAAATGTTATACTCATACCCAAAACTAAAACATACTGGGAGTTCTTTTTCATTTAAATTCATAATTACACTGTAGCATGTTTTAGAAATTCACAACTACAGTAGACTGCATAACATAACAATCACTAAGTCACGTTTTGATTCCCAGAAAAACACAATATATTTAGGTACATGTCAGTGGGGAGCGAAGTTGCCCACAGGAAAAAAATTTTGAATTTGAATTAAATAATGTAAACAGGTTCACATTAGTTCAAGTCTGCAGCTATTATTTGACTTCTCATTTATTCCATATGTAAGGCTCAAACATACCTTTCAGGTAAGATTCTCATTCCAGCTGTGCACAGTATATACAGTGGGGTTTCTTGGTGCTTGTTTTTGGGAATGTGTTCAGCTGCAAAGCTCAGTAGTGGAAACATATAGTTACTGGCTTTCTCTGGAGTTTTAGCCAATTCAGATATACCTGCAAGAAAAAAAAGATAAAGAGTAAACACAACACTGAATACAAAAAAAAGACTTCACCATTTGTACACGTGTAGCCAGAACAAAACTAAAACAAGACACATGATCTTAGTAAAAAAACACTTGTTTTCTGTCCATTCTTCAAGTTCACACCTAACTACATATCTAGTCTGCTCCTAGCACACACTCTCTTTAATTGGCATTTATCAAGGCATTTATAATTTAAAATGTTCCTATTAATTGGTCCAACACTTGGAAGCACACCTGGTTTGATCTTCATGACCACAGGCTTTCCATGTTGATCTCGCATTTGCTGAATGTCCAAGAGTTCATGAGGATTTCCATTGTGCCGGGGCCAGCAGTATACAAATATCCTTGAGCCACTGCTGCCACAGTCAACCACCAAGCCATAATTAAGGTTAGGGTTACTTGTATCTGTCGCACCAACATCTGTCACCCTGGCCAAGTGCCTGTGAAGGGGCATAGACTCGTTAACACATGCTTAACCATAGCTCTCTGTGGCCATACTTGTGCTCCTGGTTACCTGTGAAAATGGTTTTCTTCACTGGTCCAAACTGTGTGTCTATTTCCAGAAACAAGCATCAGGTACAGCAGTCCTATGAGGCACAGCACCAAAATGATGAGAAGCAGCTGTCTGAGGGAAGGGAACATAAGCCGGGGAACAACTTGGCATGACAAGCTGAAATGCCATGATGCTGGGAAGAGGCATGAAAAGCTGATTCTGTCAGCAAGCAAAAAAGAAGATAGTCAGAACTGATTGTATAAAAAATGTCACTCACACACACACACACAATGTCAAAGGTAATAGTATGACCTTAGATACAACAATCTAAAACTGACCAACCTTCCCATGGTGCAATTTGTCTTCAGTATGTATCTTCACCAAAGATGCATCATTAATCGTGATGAAGAAATGTGATGTTGCTTGATCTGAGGCTCCATACTGTTTTCCCTAGGCGTCACCATCACCTTTCCGAGAAAATGTTAAGTTTATTTGAGATTTACAACAATAGAATTACAACCATACACCACATATTTATTTATGTAAATAGAGCAACAGGAATAAACAAATTTGACAGATGACTATTTACTCATCTCTTATTGGTCAAGTTGCATAATATGTTAAAATATTGCAACACATCCTTTGCAAGATATTTCACATTACTTTGCAAACCACAGTCTAATCATTTTCTAGTCATGCGGCTGGAAAATAGTACACGTGGAAGAAACCAAAACATATCAACTTCACATAAAAATTTCATATATTATTTTATGACAGGAACTTTGTAACCTCTTTTGGTTTTGTTACATAATAAAAAAAGGTTTACTACGTAATATTCTTACTATTTCTTGTACTTCAAATACCGTAAAACAGTGCACTTAAATGCGATTGTCCCTGTAGCATAAAACGTTAGGAAACAGGTTATGTTAGCTTTTGGGCCAAGAAAACAGTTAATACGGAAATTAAAATGCATTAGTTTTAGTATATTCCTTTTTAATATAGATCCCGGTATAATACAAGTTTGTTGCATTTCCAAATATATATATATATATGTATATATATATATATAAGCCAAAAGCAAAGGACTGTTTTAATCCGTACATTAGCCCAACCTTTAGATGACAACTATCGTTAAGAGCTTTATTAGCATAGCAAGATCAGAATTCTAAATTGCCAGCGTAAACACGTCACTAATAAAGTCACATAATGTTATTTTTATCAGTACTTACTGTCAAATAGTTTAGGATCCAGCATTTTGTCGAAGATCCGGCATTTCTATGGTGTCTGATGCTAACAGCTTGCTAGCGTCTAGCCATGGGTGAATGTAGCACGTCACCGCTCCTCTCTATGACGTTTTCACTGTTCACGGTGGATGTTTGATACTGTACCGTCGTACTCCGTTTGACGTGTAATATATACAATCCTTCGGAAAATATAAGAACCGCCCAGAGCCCGCCTATTACTTGATGCGACATTTCAGGTTTTTTTTTTTTTTTTAAGAAAAACAAAATGTTACCAACAGCTAGAGAAAATGTGTTACAATACCTAGATTTATTTATTGATTGTGTGGGTGAATATATATCAAACAGCAAAAAATATTCACAATAAAAAGAAAAGTGAACTTCTTGTCATTGTGACACACCACTGCACACTAATGTGAACTCTGTTTTTAACCCATCACCAAAGTTAACAGTAGGCAGCTTTTTGAGCGCCCGGGGAGCAGTGAATGGGGACCGTGCCATGCTCAGAGCACTGCGGTGTAGTCATGTGTCGTTCGCGAGCGATTCGTTCATATGACTCGTGATTCCCGAGTCACATGAAAGATTCGTGGCTCGTGACTCCCGAGTCATATGAAAGATTTGTTTATATTGAACTCACAAATCACTCTCTGCGAACTAATCTTTCACTGCGAACTAATCACTCGTTTGCAATGACTGATTAGTTTGCAGATTCGGAATCACTCACTGCGAACTAATCTTTCACTGTGAACTAATCTACAGCTTCTTCAGTTCTAACCGGTGGTGGGCAGTACAGGTGTACTCCCCCCACCGGTTAGAACTGAAGAAGCCTCTTGGATTAGAGGTGAAACGTCTTTTTTTTCTTTTTAGAAAATTCACGTCCAGTTGCCTCACAGAACTTTTAAAACTGTGAACTAATATTCCACTACGAACGAATCACTCCCTGTGAACTAATCTTTCGCTCTGAATGAATCACTCTGTGGACTAATCTTTCACTATGAACGAATCAATCCCTGTGAATTTATCTTTCGCTGTGAAGGAATCACTCTCTGTGAACTAATCTTTCTCCGTGAACGAATCAATCCCTGTGAACTAATCTTTCGCTGTGAACTAATCTTTCAATATGAACGAATCTTTTTCGAAGGTTTTCACATGGTTGTAATTGCTTATGGGATTTTGTGTACTTTGTAGACTTTGTCAGCGGAAGCAAACCATGTTGCCTTCAGTATTTAGTGTCGGAAAACCGCATCCTTCTTTACAACGCCCGCAATGGGGCTAAAGCGCCACCTGCTGTAAAACGAATGAAATGATTCGTTCAAGATTTGTTCACTTTACTGTTCGAGAGTCAAGGATCCGATTCAGTAAAAAGAGTCGGTCTTCCCATCGAACAATATACATACTTTAGACTAGAAAGCAATACAAAACATTTTAGTCATTTAAGTACATAAAAATATTGCATTTCTTCCTAGTACCTGTAGGAAGTTAAGAATATAACCTGAAGCAGTGTCTGAATACGTAAGTTGCAATAAAAGTAAAATACTTTTTAGGATTTTGATAAAAACAAATAGAACTTTTGCAATATCAGCTTTGTTGTTTACCTGCTGTTTGAGTGCTATTTCTACTTTAAACTACACGTAGACGACCTCAACATTTCTGAATTTAGTGCAGTACTGCAAATCAGACTGGCAGATTTCCCAACAGTGACTCAAGTTAACAAACTTAAGTCTCTTGCAGTTTCGCATTAGATTATTCACTGTTCCCATCATTACATCTGTTCTTGTCAGGTTGATGTGCTGCAACCGTTTAAGGTGTGAGTTAGAAAGACCCTGAAAATTCACAACTGGAAAAATGTTAAAAAATCCTTCTTGCAGCACATAGTTTAAAATGCGATCCAAAGGGCATGGCAGAGAGACCAGCGAGACCTTCTCGAGTAAAGGAGAACCCATTAGAAGACAACAGAGAGCATTTGCAAAGGATCTCCACAAAAAGTCAGGCCTCTTTTGAATGGGATTGTGGGAGAAACTGTAGACACAAATAAGAAAGGTATCAGTTGTTGATTAGTAAAACTCATTCTATGCTACTAGTTTTTTTTCATTGTTACATAATACTATATATTGTGTTAACAGGCCATCATAACATGGTAGATTAATACAAAAATCACAGAAATAATGTCAAAAAACCATAAACAACTCAATATAAGTCTTACTTGATTGTGAGAGTGCGTAGATTGGGCAGCTGTGGATTATCATCTTGCTGTTCCATCACATTTGTTTGTGGAATAGTAGGAGATTCAGCAAAAATAAGTAGTTCGTGGAGTTTGGGGCAGGCGTGCATGACCTCAAGGAGAGCAATGTTAATGTTTTTCACTCCCTCCAGAGAGAGAGACAGTAATGAAGAGCCTGTCACATGCAAAGCAGGAAGCAGATCATCCAGCAGGCCTGGGTAAAGTAAAGAGAGGCTCTGCAGCTGACCTGACCAAGTTTGCAAACCTGCAGCTAGCACAGAACACTGGCTTCTTCTGCTAGTATCCTCAGGATCAACAATGTTTACAGATATGTTGTAAATGTCTGGACACAGGTGGCATAAACTATCCAGAAAGTCACATGTTATACCCTTGACATCTTTCAGGTGAAGAACAAGACATTCATCACTAAAACTTGAGGAAACTTCACCCTGTGCTTGGATCAGAGAACAACTTGGCCTCTCCTCTCTATTTTCATCCCTGTCATTCTCCTGAGAATATTCCTCCCACATAATCTCTTCCTCTTCCTCATCTTTATGTTCCTCATCTTCTGCTACTGCTCTTTCATGCCTCTCCGTCATTCTCTCCGAGTCTTGCCTGTGCTTTTCTTTCCTCCACACCTCTATCAACCTTGGAAATTTCTCCCTCTCAGTAAACTCTACTGTTTTGCTAAAATCTCGGTGTTCAATGAGGCTACACGCCTGTGCCAGGCCCTCGATAGCCAGTTCTTTCAAGCTAGGCAGACTAAGGAGGAGATAAGCTGCTACTGTCACAGAGTCTTCCTCTTCTTCACCAAAACCAATATCCAAAGCCAGTATCCTGCTGAGGGGGAGGGGAGGCAGAGATTCAGAAGTGGTTGGACTGGAGTGTTCCAACGTGCAAGAGGAAGTTGAAGGTTCAGTTGCAGAGGTACTGCAAAAAAGGGTACTTGAAGGACAAGCAGAGGACGAGCAGAGAGCCCTACCGACAAGGGACAGTAGTGCAGCAGGAGCAAGGAAATGACAACGAGACACATCCAGGTGTCGCAGCAAACGGCAGTGGAGGAAAATGGTCCTGATAACACATTCATCACAAGGTGTACCAGCCAGAGAGAGTGAGCGGAGGGCAGGAACTGAGCAGAGAGTTTTGGATAGCACTTTGGAGGGGAGTTGTTGAGCACCAGATAGATCCAGATTCCAAAGACCCTAAAACAAGAACAACCATTATTGACATCTATCCTGACTGTAGTCTAAAAGTTTGAAAGTCTTAAGTTTAGGTCTAATTTTAAAGGAGAAATAACTTTCAGCTAGTGCCTTAGCTTGGTGGTTAAGCACTTTATTAAAGTGCAGTGTTCATCGAAGACCGGGACCAACATTTGTATTAAACATGAATTTTGCTCAAAGCAATCATTTTTTCATCAAGTTTGACCTCTGTGTGGTCCGCTGTTGAACGAATCATATTAAGCAAAAGAATCACAGCACTAGTGAGTCTATTTACTGACCTGGCAACGTGCAGCAATGTGGACACAAAGTGAAGAGGTGAGCAGTCCAGGACACTTGTCCAGCAACAGACTTTTGAGTTGTGGCACCAGCAGAAGGTGAAGGCCTGCTCGAGATAACTTTTTTCTGCTGCACAGTAGAAAAATGAGCTCCTCTACCAGGTCCCCTGCTGCAGGTGGAGTAAAATAAATGTCATGTGTATATATATACTACATGGAAGTAGCTTACTGGTAACAAATGGATCATCCAGCAAAAGCTTTGTCTCATTTTGTTTACAAAATTATTAATGATGGTCCAACAATGTTCTACATAATGTTTCATGTTGATGTAAAGTAACAAAAAAATCCCTCCCAGGCTGCATTTTACCCCTCTGTCAGATAAATAAAGATTTAAATTAAAAACTAACTTACAAAATGTAGTTTTATTATATATTTTAAAATGTGTACAAACTTTACAAGTACTGGTCAAAAAGATTTATTCATTTGGCCGACTAAAACATACAACCATCACAAACTTACGCAGTGAGTTGAAAGGGCCCATGATATGCCTAAAAAAATACTGATCCAGGTACTTTTCAGCATAGTCTTTCACCCATACTTCCTTCATGTTGTCAACCAGGCTGAGTAGACAGAGCCGTGTTAGGGACTGGACAGAGCCTTCATCATCTGTTCTCCTGCTGCCATCTCTCCACTTCATTTTCTTTATCTTTTGCCTTCCTGATTTCTCTGCACCACGTCCACCTGAGACCCTGAACAGAGGCATGATGGGATGGCAGGGGGTGTAGGATCCTTGAGATTCTGCAAATGATAGTCAATGTGGAGATTACTTACAATAAAGTTATAAATACAATGTCATATTGAATTATATTCACAATTGTGACTCCTTAATTTCCGGAAGGACACTCCCGAGGGATTAATAAAGTTCTTTCTTTCTCTCTATCTATCATATACTGTAGGTCCAAGAGTTAATTGAAACATTTTTGTACCATAGAGTGAAACCAGAGTCTGTAGTTTTTTTCATACAAACAAAACGAAAACGTGTGTATGTCATGTAAGATCAGATTAGAAAGGATGAAGTTAGAAAAGCCCTGAAGAGGATGAAGAGTGGAAAGTCAGTTGGTCCTGATGACATACCAGTGGAAGTATGGAAGTACTTAGGAGAAGTGGCGGTAAATTTCCTGACTGG